AATTATAGCTGTGATAACTGCTATGCAAAAGAAGTACCTGAACCTGTGGAGGGCGTCAGGGTAGGAAAGGCTTTTCTGAGGAAGGAACACTTCACCCAAGACCATGCTGTCCAATATGGCAGCCACCAGCCACATGTGGCTACTGAGCACTTGCAAGGTGGTTAGTGCCATGGAGGAGCTGAATTTTAAATCGTATTTAATTTTAATTACTTGAAATTAAAAATTTAAAACTGAAGCAGTATAAGAAATATGCATGCATTCTGTTGTTAAACACAATTTTATTGTTTTGGTGGGACTACATTTCACTTTAACTGTTGAAATTTTCAAAGAGTAAGGGGAAAAAATAAACTATCACAATATTTTTATATTGTTCACATGTCGAAATGATACAATTTCAGATATTGGGCTAAATCAAATGTATTAGTTCAAATTAATATCACTTGTTTCTTTTTTACTTTTCCAATGTGGATACTAGAAAATCTAAAACTCTCTATTGTGCCTCACCCTGTATTTCTCGGACAGAGCTGAGCTAAGAGCAGCAAGTCCTGTAGGAGGAGTTAAGAGGAAGAAGCGTGAAGAGTATGGGGGAGTCTCATTTCTTAGAATGGAAACACATTTATTTAGCTCTATTTTTATGCTTATGACTTTACACCTTACACGTATAAGACTCAAAACAGTCACAGGTAGATATTACTCGCCTCTTACTACAGATGAGGAAACTGAGGCCCAGGATTGACCCAAGTCCTGTGGCTGGTATGACCAACTCAATGAGCTGTCTACACTTTGCAGGGGTCCCAACCTGAACAGGTTTTATTTCTCTCTGAGTGCTGCCTTCAGCTTGGCTCCATCAAACTTCTCCTGCCTGCCCTTGTCTGTCTCTTAAGGCAGAGCCTACTGCTCTGGACAACTGCAGAAAGGTACTCTACAATTGTTGACTGAATGGATGACACGGATGAATCATTTTATTGAACTTTTATGAAAAAGCTATTCTGTGTCAGGCCCTATTTAAAGCCCAGTCTGAACTAGGCCAGCTCCAAACTCCGGCATTCCAGTGCAGTGCCAACATTACACCCTCCTTCCTGCCCCATAGCTGCCCGCCACGTCCCTGAGGGATCTGGACGGAGTGGAGGCAAAGTGGTCTTTTGTTCCTTCTCCCTTCTCTGAATTGGGTCCCAAGTGTGGATCCTTTGTGTGTGTGTGTGTGTGTGTGTGTGTGTGTGGTGGGGGTACCCTTGGCATAGCTCTCTTGTATATGATCTGATCCAGCTCCGCAGCTCTGGCCTCTGGAGTCCATGCAGCAGTCTCTTGCTTCTGGGGCCTCTTGAGTGGACTGCCGAGAGAATGCTCTAAGCTTGGCCACCCTCCTCAATGCAGGGGTGAGGGGTGGGGGTGCTTTTGAGGACCTCGTCCCCCTGCCACTCAGCATGGGGGAACTTCAGGCTGCTCCCCTGCCTCCGCACCTCTCTGCCCTGCCATCTTTTTTCAGTTCCTTTTTTTTTCCCCTCCTGCTTAGGGCAGCGAGTCCCCTGTCTGCCTCAGGAGACACTTGGAGGAGAAGCCGACCTCCTCTTCCTGTAGGCCCTCTGATCTCTAGGACTTATTTTCTTGGGGTGCCTTGTTTGGCTAAGGTGGCAGCAGGCATGTGAGGGGAGAGATTCCACAATAGCCTCCCCCTAGGCTGACCACTATCCCCGCTACCCCCCTACAGTTAGCTGAGTGCACAGGACATGTGGGAGGTGGGATGGCTGGGGGCACAGGTCAGACTTTGCTGCTTCTTACTCAGCCCTGAGCACATACCTGGGCCCAAAGGTTCATTCATTATTATTGGGTACCTGCTACGTGCCCAGTGTGGTGCTGGCTGCTGGTTAGTGCAGTTAATGAAAGACAGCAATCTTCATAGCCAATTGATTTCCATGGGGAAACTGATAAAAACCAGTAAGTGTACATGTTGGGGCTAGCCAATGGGAGGCCAAATAGAGTAGAAGGGTGTGGTGGGGGGTGAGTCAAGAGCAACTCAGGGGAGAAGCCAAGGAAATGGTTACTGTGTTTAACATTCATCTTCCCCCAACTAGGAGAAGTCCCGGTTAACATTGTGTGACCCTAGTGAGGTGATGGGGCAAAGGTTCGGTTTCAAAGACTACCCTGTATCTTTGTTTTATTTGGTTGTGTATGTCCAAGCTCACTTCACCAACCCTTCGCAGGCCACATCCCATACATTCTGTAGTCCCAAGAGACACCCCTAGGCCTGGGCCAGAGCAGGCCCTTTGTCACGTCTCCACCTTGGAGGAGGCCCACCACTTCAGAGAGGGCTCCGTAGCAGGACCCTGAGGCAGAGCCAGCGCCTTCCTGATCTGGCTGGTAGGGCATAAGAGGTAGCCAGTACCCAGTGCAGGCAGCAGACACTTCCCCAGCTGGAGACCACAGGCCTGAGGGTTTGGGGTTTGGAAAAAGGCCCGGGACATAGCGACCACTTCTTTCACTGTGGCTCACACTGCTGCTCCAGGCAAGGGGGGGGTGGGGGGGTGGGAGGTACATGGTCTGCCCAGGCTGTCAGGAGACCAGTCAGTGGCCCCTGGGCTCTTGTAGAACCTCATAAGGAGGTTGGCACCTGGCACAGACCAGGGACGCTGTGAGCCTCCTGCCATGGCAGCCACACCTGGGCAGGCCCTGGGCTCTCTCCTGCCCACCCTTCTGCTGGGACTCACAGGTGAGTCCTGAGGACTGTCAGGGAGGATGCTAAGAACAGGCAGGGAGGCCCTCAGATATACCAAAGCCAGCCACCTTGTGTATTGGCGGGGGTGTGGGTGTGGGGGGGACACTGGAGGACTGAGGCCCAGAGGACCTAGCTGAGCTGCCTACCTGCCTGCCAGGGTGCTGTTTTGCGTCTTCTCCCCTATGTGCACCTTGTGGAAAATGGAGATGATGGGAGTTTTGGGGGTCAGGAAGAGGAAGCTGTGACCCAAGGGCAAGGGGCTGTGGGGAGGTCGGGGAGTGAAAAAGAAGCCCACCTTGCACCCAGTTTCTCTGATGCCAGCTCTGGTCTGGGTGGTCATCAGGTCTAAGTCAGAGAAGGCATGAGGGTGGGAAAGACAGAAGGAGAGGGGAACCCTCGAGTGATGGAGCCTCCAGCATCATGGGAAGAGTGCTGGACCTGCAGTCAGGCGGACCTGCTTAACACCCTTCCTTAGCCACTAATAGGCTGTGTGACCTTGAGCAAGTCACTCAACCTCTCTGAGTTTCTGTTTCTTCTTCTGGAAAGTGGGGGCAACAATACAAGCCCCCCTCAGTCGGGACGAGGATGAAGATGACCACATGTACCTGAAAGTGTTTTACGAGCCGCAGGGCACCTCTTTGCCCACAATGCTGAAGTCCTACAGACCTCTCAGTTTCTCAAGTACACTAAGCTCTTCCTGCCTGAAGCATCGTCACCTGCTTGTTTCCACTTTCTAGAATGTTCCTCCCCTGCTCCTTCCCATGGCTGGTTCCAACACATTCCTCAGTTTCAGTTCAAAATGTCACTTCCTCCAGAAAACCATTTTTTTATCACCCTTCTGGAATACTTCCTTCTGGCATTTTCTCTCTGCACTGTTTGGGTTTCCCTGAAGTCATTGAGCCCCCGTTGTAATTGGACTTATTATCCAGTTATCATCTGTTCATATGCTCTCCGAGGCTGGAACCAGGCATGGTGCACAGTAGGTCCACAGGTCCTGACACACAGGCACGTGTTACAGGCTGTTGAGTGTTGAATGCGTCCTGCTCTCAGTGTGCAGACAAGTGCTTTCTCTCTCTCTTGTAGCTGGGCAGGCCTTTATCACTCTGATGGGTCCGTCTCAGAGGTCAGCCCCTGGGAATTCAGTGTGTTTCAACTGCACCGCTGGCCCCTTCAGCTCCTGCGATTTTAATGTCACTTGGATGAAGGACAGAGATGAGTATCCAGCCTCAGCTCAGCGCCTGCTGACTGACAACAAAGGCAATTGCTCCATCACCAGTAAGGTATGGGTGACACTGGCCCGCCAAGATGTCTTATCAGAGATCACCTGTGAAGTCGCCCACAGGGACCTGGCAGAGCCCCTGCGCAAGACCATGAACCTCTCCCAAGTGCTCCGAGGTGAGTGGGCAGTCGGGTGGGGTGAGAGACATCATTTTCCCTGGCAGCAATGGTTTCTAAAGTCTTTCACCCGAAGCCCCATTTCACTAATGGGAAACTGGAATTCCTCACTGCCATGGCTGACCACACAGGATAGCCATGACAGGCACAGGTTCCAGAGGCTGACCAGCTGGGTTTCATACTTTGTATCCCTTTACAACTTGTGTGATGTTGGGTAAGTTACTTAACCTTTTTGTGCCTCAGTTTCCTCTTAGAATGGAAATAAAATTAAGACCTACCTCATAGGCTTCATGTGAGGATTAAGAGAGTTACTCCTTATAAAGCACCTAGAACAGTGCCCGACACAGTAAGTTGTTCATGAATGTTTGATCTTATTATTATCTGGTCCAACTTTCCATTCTAGACATCTTTGTTCTACTAATATCATTGCATTAATAAATATGATTATAATAAATATTAGAAATAATAAATATTTTTATAACTATTATTAGATATGATAAATATTATTATTTATTAATTTTAAATATTTATTATTCATTCAATAAATGACTAGCTATTATGGGCCAGGCACTATTCTAGGTGCTGAGGATATCTATGAATAAAATTAGTCCCTATCCTCAGGGGCATTATACATTAGTAATTCTTAAAATTATCTTTCATAATATGAAATATTTCAAACATCTAGAGAATAATATACCAGACACCCGTGAACCTCTACCCATATTTAATGAATATTAACATTTGGCTCCACTTTCCTTACATGGAGCACACAAGGAAAAAAATTTCTCAAAAAAAAAAAAAAAGGAACGAGAGAGTGGGTGATCTTCTTGTGGCTGGTTCCTAGGAGGGAGAAACATAGGGGCCAGGCGGGCACAGGCCTAATTTGAACAGATGCTTCCTCCTGTTCCTCTGTCTAGTTGCCCCCACCGTGAAGATCACCACCAACCCCCCTGGGGTGTACATCCACATGCCTCGGAAAGTGAATCTTACTTGCCACGCGAGCTACTTCTACCCCTCCCCCCTGAACCTCATCTGGATGGAGAACGGGCACAAGATCCAGACCCCGGTGGTCCCCCAGGCCACAAGCAACCCAGATGGGACCTACTCTCTGGAGCACACGTGGCAGGCAGAGGCCAAGCTGGACAGGAGTGAGTTTGCCTGCTGGGCGCTCCAGGATGAGCAGCCCGCAGTCCGGACCAACATCACCCTGTCCAGGCTGAAGAAAGGTGGGTGCAGCCTGTCGCCCAGCCGCCTCTGGGTAGCACGGCTGGCAGGGCCGGGTATGAAAACTCGGGCCATCTGCCTGAGGTGTAGACAGTAGTAGGTGAGGGACTCAGAGCAGCACTGGATAAGGGTAAAGAAACGGAGGACGCCTTGGGTCGGCGATAAAACTCTCAGGCATTCACCCCTAAATTCTATTCCTCTTTCCCTCGTCCACACCCTCCCCAGAAAGAAAGAGTGGGACTTTCCCTCCCGGATTCTATGCGTTCTTCAGGTTAAAGCTCTCTGCTAATTTAACACTTGATTACAGAAAACGGCCGATTATGGGCTCCTGGGTGCCAACGTCCCTTCTAGGAAGGATTTTAGTCTGGTTCAGCTGGTAATTTCTGGAAGTCAACTTTAATACGAGGCCAGAAATCTTGACTCTGGTGGGAAACAGGGTGGGTGCCAAGTGTGAGATTCTCATTCTCTCTGCTACTCAGTTTGCTTTCCCTTTCTCCTTTCTCTGCCTTCCCCCACCCCTGACACCCCCCCCCCTTTCCTCATTCTCTTCCTCCTGCCCCCCTCCTTTTCCTTCTTTCGCTCCTCCTCTTCCTCCTCCACCCTCCGGTGCTAACCCTTTATTCCTCGGTATCTATCTCGCTCTTTATGTCCTCGGGTGATTTTTTCCACTAGGGGGAGCTGCCCGCTAACTGTTCAGACCCACAGACGAAATCTGGTTTTTTTGGTCTATCTTGAATCAGTTTGGGAGAAAGAGAGATGAACGGGAGGGGATGGGCAGTAGAGAAGGGCGTGGAGAGAAGGGAGGATTATGATTGGCCAGGCCTGGGCCAGGCCGTGCTAAGCCAGTGTGGACTGACAGCTCTACAGAACCACGTGGAGTGGGGGAAGGACAGCTCCCTCCCAGAAGTAGGAGCGTCTGTGCCTGCGTGCACGTATTATAGCCCAGCCACTAAAGAGAAAGGGTGCGCAGGACGCAGAGCTGGCAACACATCTTCACAACAAGGGCTTAGACTCGGCACTCTATATGTGTCCCGGACAGAAATGGCCTTTATCTGTGTGCTGTAAGAATTCTCAGGAGGAATGGTCCCCTTCACCATTCAATTTCTCTGTGCCCCCTTTTTTTTTTTTGTAGCAGTGCAGCAGAAATAAGAAAAACGTTCACCCAGAGAGATATACAGATCTGGGTGAAAAACTCAAAACTGGGCCTTTCTGATCAGAAGCAAGTTACATATTTTCTGTATTGACTCAGTTTTTGTCCTGGTTTGTTTTTCTCCTTCACCAGCATGCAACGTACCTGGCCCAGTGCTGCAAGGTTAACCCCCTGAGAACATCACTTTGATTCTACCACTCCCCTGGGCAGCGCTTCCCAGCACCCTGTGGCTTACAACAAGGGAGGGCAACTTCTTTTCCTGGCATTTGGTGTTAACATACCTCTGCACCTACACTTCCTCAGTCTGGCCCATAAAACCCTTCCTCAGCACCCTGCCCCTCATACGCTCCCAGCTCTGTGCCTCTGTTGTTTGGCTGACACCTGCAGAGCGCTCACTGGGCACCAGGGGTCCTCACATACCTTCTGTGACCTAAGACAACCGGGAAAGGCAGCAGAAGGGCCAAGGTCTCAGGCATCTCAGAGATGAAATTAGAAGGCAGGATTGTCTCTTGAGAAATTCAATGTGCTTTTCTGTATTTTTCTCTTAACATGCTGCCTGAGAATACAAACCTTAGTGTTAGCTCAAGTGTCTTCTCAAATCAACCTTAAATACTCTATTTCTGGTGTTTATTTCTTCTTGAATGGTCATATCTGCCCACATCATTCAGTTCTCACAGTTTAAGTTCTCACTTAAACTACGGGGCCTCCTGCCAGCCCCTGATGGGGAGTTATCAGTTTGTTCCTCTCCTCCACGGTGAGACCCTCAGCTCTTGAAGCAGACACTGGCTCTTAGGATTGGAGGTGGCCAAGTTTGGAGTCCAGCGGATCAGTGTCACATCACAGGGCTGCCAACTGATTATCTGGGATCTCAGACAAAGCACTGCCCTTCCTGAGCTCAGTTTCCTCATCTGTACAAATGCCCACCTCAAGTGGACCTGCTAGGGATTTCCTTCTTGACCCCTGCTGGGCATCAGGACTATGGGGCACACAGCGGGTGCTCTATAATGCCTGTTTTGCAATCTCCGTGGTGCCCAGCCCAGACCTTGGAAAAAAAGTCGGAAAATATTAAAATTTACTGATTATTATGGAGTCAGCTATGGAGAAGTAGAGGCAGCTACTATGTAACAGAAAGAGCCTTTGGATGGGATCAGAACTCCTTGGTTGGAATATGGTTTCTGTTCACTGTGAGGCCCTTTGGTGAAGCACTGATTGTCTCCCTGAGCCTTTTTTCCCCTGTTAACATTAGAAATATGATTAATAATGATTTTCCGATGGTTATTATGAGTATATGAGGTTTGACAATTAAGTTCGCGAACTTGTTGCAACGATGTTGCTAACCTTTTTTGATGTCAGAGAGATTATTTATTATGAAATTGTACCAACTGGACAAACAGTTAACCAAGTTTACTATTTGGAAGTGCTGCAAAGGCTGCGTGAAAAAGTTAGATGACCTGAACTTTTCTTCAACAATTCATGGCTCTTGCATCACGACAATGCACCAGCTCACACGACACTGTCTGTGAAGAAGTTTTTAGCCAGTAAACAAATAACTGTATTGGAATACCCTCCCTACTCACCTGATCTGGCCTCCAGTGACTTCTTTCTTTATCTGAAGATGAAGCAAATATTGAAAGGAAGACATTTTGATGACGTTCAGGACATCAAGGGTAGTAAGATGACAGCTCTGAAGGCCATTCCAGAAAAAGAGTTCCCAAATTGCTTTGAAGGGTGGACTAAGTGCTGGCATGGGTGCATAGCTTCCCAAGGGGAGTGCTTTGTAGGTGACCGTAGTGATATTCAGCAATGAGGTATGTAGCACTTTTTCTAGGATGAGTTTGCGAACTTAATTGTCTGAGCTTGTATGATGATAGACCACTTAGAAAGTAATTAATATGTGCCACATGTTCTCCACTACTTTGCTTAATTTATTAATTAACTCTGAAAATTTAGAATCATCTTTATTTTGCAAATGAGGAAACTGAGGCTTAGAGGGTTGAGTTACTCAGGCTCACTGAGTGAAGGACCTGGGAGTGCAAACTTGGGTTAAGTGTGACCCCCAAGCCTGTTCTCCTAACCACTTCTCTGTGCCACCTGCTTTCATATGACCTGGCCTTGAGCAGTGAGGCGCTCTTCCCTTCTCAGGGACTGAGTGCAGAGCTGAGCAATAGTCACAGCACAGACCCTGGGGCCAGACTGCTTGGCTAAGGACTCCGGCTCTGTCACTGACTAGCTGTGGGCCTTGGACAAGTTACCTAGCCTGTCTGTGTCCTGTGTCCTCATCTGTGAAATGGGGAGAGTCGTAACTCCCACATCCTATGGCTGTGGTGAGAATTCAGTGAGTTAGGCAGAACCCATCAGCTAGGTCATGTGACATGGGTGTGGCCGTGAGGTGTGGGTGACGGTTGGACTCCTTATGTACTGTTGGTAACCCTGTAGTTTTATCATCTGACTTCTGATACCAGCTTCAGAATTGAAATCCTTTTAGAGCATAACCTTTAAACCTTATGGACAAGGAGGCAATGCGGCTTCTTGACTGAGAGACTGAGATTTGGGCACCTTCATGCCTTCTCACAGGAGGGGTGTCTGCTTGCAGGCAGGAGCGCCTACTCTCACATCTTCCAAGGGCCCCTTCAGCGATCTGAGCCGGGCACAAGCATCCAACTGACGTACATGTCCTCCGGATTCCCCACGTCGCATGTCACAGTGACATGGCGTAAAAACAACCACACACTGCTGAAGCCCCAGCGCGAGGTCCATCTCAGTGGAGATACCTACAACGTGACCAGCAGTGTGCTCATCCCACTGCAGGCTGGCGATGTGTTCTCCCACGTCCTCTGCCAAGTCCAGCACAAGTCAACCGTGGTTTCCCAGCAAATCATTCGCCTGGACCAGTACCTCCGTGGTAAGGAATTTCTCTTTGTTCAGCTGGGTTAGTTGGGCTGTGGATGTCTAGGTTTCCTCATCTGAAAAACGGCATATCCCTCACTTGCTTATGGCAAGGATTCAATGAAATGATACCTGTAAAGTACTGAACACATGCTGCTTAATATTAACCGTGCAGAAGTGGCAATTGTTGTTGTTATCATGCATTATTATTATTATTTATATTGCCTCTCAGAACTCAGTTTTCGTGTCTGTAAAATGGAGACAAAATACCTTCCAGTAATAAACAATAAATGTAATTTTATTATTATTTTATACGAAAAGGATGTAAAGGTCTTTGAAACTTCCAAATTTAAAGGACTTTTGACCATTACTCATACCTGGGCAAGGGCCTAATTTTTAATCTGAAATGTTTTTGTTGATTTTCCCAGCCTGGACCAATGCTTGACAGGTCCGTACATTCAGTGAGATTATAACATATCATGCCTAGAAGGAACCTTAGTGATTGTCCCATTGTTCACGACAACTCTAAAGCCCAGAGGAGGCAAGTGAGTGGTTCAAGGCTGCACAGCAGTACAATTAATTCCTTAAATGTATATAGGACTTTCAAGTGTACAAAACATTTTCCTCTTTATCTTGTGTGCTATAATCATGGGAGTAACCACATCATTTTACATGGATAAAAGTATCGATACCAACATTGTGAATGAGCACAGCCCACAATCAAAACACATATCTGTGTGGGATGATTTATTTAACGTGTACAACTGCCCTGTACTGTTTGTCCCATTCATGGTTTATGGAAGGAAACTAAGGTTCAAAGACGTGAAAGCTGCCCCAGGTTGTAAAGCTGGTGCGTGAGAGGCGTTTGACATGAATTCTGGTTTTTGACTCTGCTACTTAGCAGCTGTGGGATCTCCGGCTAGTTACTGAAATTCTTTCAGCCTCAGTATCTTTGACTATAAAGTAGGAAAATGCTCAGACACTTATCTGAGTGTTTATTATATAATTCCCTGGAATTGCATAGAGAAGCAAAAACCATAGAAAATACAAATATTCACAAATGAATTAATTATAAAATGAGCCCCCACTCAAAACCCCTCCCTGCTCAACACTGCGTGCATCTTAGGTTGGGTTTCCTGTCACAGAAATAACTTTGGGGGTGTCTTTATTTGAGTACCCCCTGAAAGCAATGTCTGCAACCAGAACTTGGGTGCAGGTGGAATAAGGGACGGGGAGAGTGAGCCAGGAAAGGAGGGACACCCTAGAAAAGGGGAGGTATCGAACTGCGTGTCCCTGTGGATGACTGAGGCTCAGTGCCACTGGGAACCCCGTGAGGAACTGCATGGACTGTTTCTCAAGATTGTGCCATGAAGGAGGGGAGGCTGGGATATGCCTGCGTGGGCTGAGTGGCATTTCATGGTCATGGAGAAACCCTGAGGCAACGAATCAGGAAGGTGTTTCAGGAATTTGAGATGGGAAGTGGCACCACCCAGCACCACTGGCCTGAGATCAGTCGGCTGGCGGCGGTGATGTGGCGCCCAGAAACCCTCTGCTCTAGGAGGTGGGTCTTGCCATCATGGAAGTATGACAAACATCAGATCACACTGTGCCCACAGAGTCTACATCCACTGCAACGTGAAATCAGAGATCTAGCGAAAGTTATTTTAAGAAGTTGATGTACATGATGTTGAGGAACTGCTGGTTAAAGATGGGAAAAGAAGAAGAAAAATCTATGATCCTAATGATTCTGTGGCTACTTCAAAAGAGAACACTTTGATTGAAAGAGGCGCTTGTGAAAATTGATAGAACACTCAAATAATTTTTCAAAATTCCCTGTTAGCGATTGTGCTTGAATGTGAAATTTGAAATGAAGGACTTGTTGATACTATAGTATATGTTTTTGGGGAAAAAAATTATGCCAACTTCCTTATACTCCCAACACTTGTTCCTTCTAAAAGTTGGTGCAAAGTTTTAATTATATTTTATATTTAATTTAAAATATAAATTAATACAATTATTTTTATAATTGAAGTGTTTTTCAAGATGAAGTTTCAACCAATTTCTTTTTTTAAAGGTTGAAACACTGTTTAATTCGTATTAAAATACATTTCCCCAAAGTTATGTATAACAGTTCACAGCACTTGTAAAGCTCTTTCCAGTTTATAAAGTACTGTTACATGCCTCATTTAACTTAATCTTCACAGTAAATGAACAAAGCAGATTAATTCCCATTTTGAAAATAAACAAACTTAAGCATTGACAATTCCTATGAAATTGAGCCCTGATTTTGCATAGGTTCCTCCTAAGTGGCTTTTTATTTTGTTTTCTGACACCACGTAGCTTTCTGTGTTTATCTCATTTGGTTTTGTGAGGATTAACACTGCCATTCTGTTATCATCAGCTGTGCTTGGGTCTCTACCCTCCCGACACTGCCCTGGACACCATACAGCCAGGAGAACTCACTTGTGGCTTGAATGAGCCACCTGAGCTTCCCTACCCTTATGGGTCCTTGAGGCCCTTTAGAGCCCATGACACTTGCTTGGTGGTACCTTACCCTGAACTGTTCTCCATGGGTAACCACTCCAATTACTAGGCCTTCACTATCCCGGGTCTTCCTTTCTGAGCGTCCTGCTCTTTGCTTGGTATGAATCCCTGCTTCTGTGCTGAAGGGGAAAGACTAAGGACAGATTGTGGCTTTCTGGGGATGGCGTCTTGCCTTACCTGTCCCACCCATTAGCATCACCATTGATATAATTTGATAGATCGAGTTGGGTTGAGTATGCAGAAAGGGTATTTTCAGGTCAGATGCTCTTAGTTCCTTCAAATTGCACTAGATAAGGTGTTACTCTCTCTACCCTAGACCAAGAGCTGAAGTCTGTCTTATCTAGCCCTGTGAGAGCTGATCTGACCTTAAACAATTTCATAATTTAACAGTCTTGGAAACAGAGGGTAAATGACATGTACAAGGTCAAGCAATTGGCTATGTGCAGGGACCAGAATCTGGATCTCTCATCCCTTGGTTTCGTGTTAGAATCACAAAGTGCTGTGTGCTCATATGAATTGTACTAAAATATTTCATGTTTTATAATATTTTTAAATCCTCCATATTTCCCTCATCATAAATACATTCTATTGCACAGCTGAAAATCTAGTTGAAAAAATTCTAGAAGTCGTTATATCAAAATTTTAGAGCCAGGAATCTTAAATGCCTTATAGTCTTATAGTTTCAGTCAAATAACATAACAATAACACATACTGCCTCTGGTATGATCCTGGCCACTTGTGACCTTGTGCAAGTTGTGACTGGCAAGCTACTTAACTTCTCCAAACTCATGTTCCCTTCTATGTAAAACTGTAGTATCTTTTAGTCATAAAGATTAATGAGTGTATGAATCTTCAAATCTTAGAATTACCAAGTCATAGATGAGCCAACTGGTTCATAGATTCTTAAAGGAAACTCAAATTTCACCTTTCCCTCTTTAATAATCATAGAAAAGAAAGTAAAGATTAAGATGGCTTTATCTTTCTCATTCATTCTTTCATCCATGCGTCCAGGTATGCAGGCATCCATCCAAGCATGCATTCACGCATGAATTCACACCCACTCATCATGCATTTACTTATACACGCATCTGGTAACCAATAGCTAAATCCTTCTCTGGGGCAGGCCCTGGGCAGATGGCCCCATTCTCAAGGAGCTCCCAGGCTCCTATGGTGGACTTCCTACAGTAATTGTCTGCTTTCTCTGGGCTGTGTCAGTTCCCCCTGCAGTGACAATATCCCAGGCTTTACCTTCCTCGGACTTGGTGGCCATTACCTGCCACGTGCAGAGATTCTACCCACAGAGCGTACATCTCACCTGGCTGGAGAACTGCCATAAATTCAAGGGAGCTGAGCAACCCACACCCAAGCAGAATAGTGATGGAACCTACACCCTGGAAAGCTTGCAGTTGGTGAACGCGTCACTGCAGGGGTCTGAGCGGGTTCTCACCTGTAAGGTGCAACATGAGGCACAGCCTCCTATCCAGGCCAACCTCATACTGTCCACAGCAGTGCGTGCCACCTACAAGCCCATTGGGAGCCCAGGTAAGCTCACCTCCAGTCCTGTGAGCAGCTGGGTCACCTCTGTCCCCTGAGTGGTTTTCAAAATGCATTGGGAGAAGAGGGGTTCATAATCATTCGAGCCTTGTCCGACAAGATTCTGTAATTCCTTGAATAACCAGAATGGTTTCTGGCTGTGGCTAACTTTATTTATTTTTTATTTTAATTTTTTTAAAAGGTTTCTTTTTTTTCCCTTTCTTTTCTTTTTTAAAATTGGGGAATTGGGGAAGGGGAACAGTGTTGGGAAATTGGGGAGGGAGACCAGCCAAGTTGTTGTTCTTTAATAGTAGTTGTGGAGGGCGCCAGTCGCCATCTGGCTGCCCGACGGCAGCTTGTGACCTCTAAGCTTAAGGTGCTGTGTTCAATCTTGAGGGTGGGCGTAGCCACCATCCCATGCGGGAGTCGAACCAGCAGCCTTGTTGTTAAGAGTGCACAGTCTATCCACTGAGCCATCCAGGCAGCAGCTCAGCTCAAGGTGCCAAGTTGCAGATGGGCGTAGCCACCATCCTATGCGGGAGTTGAACCCGGCAGCCTTGTTGTTAAGAGCATGCACTCTATCCACTGAGCTATCCGGGTAGCAGCTCAGCTCAAGGTGCCGAGTTCAGTCTTAGTTGCGGACGGGTGTAGCCCACCATCTCAAACAGGCAACCTTGCTGTTAGGAGCATGTGCTCTCACCAGCTGAGCCATCCTGTCACCTGTTGGCAGCTCAGCGGCAGCTCAGCTCGGGTGCAGCGTCACTGGCCCATGTGGGAATCGAACCAGCAGCCCTGTTGCTCAGAGCTCGCGCTCTTAAGCTAACCCTTAACCAACTGAGCCATTCGGCCGGCCGCTTGGCTGTGGCTAACTTTAGATGTGGCCATCCTGAAAGTTTTTTTTTCATTTCTGAGGGAAGAGCAATCTTCCCAGCTCAATCTCCTTGAAACTTCATTAGAGAGTTCTGCTTACGACACTCACTGATGATTCTGAGATGGTCTTCAGCAATGCTTTCCTATTAAAATAGTGTTTTGGGTTATATGGAGATTCTTTTCCATGACCAAATATAACCATATAAGCAAGTCTGTAAGACTTGCCTGAACAACCTTACCCCGGGGACCCCATGATGCCTGCTCCAATGGCAGAGCTGGCTCTTCCATTTAACTCTTGCACAGGTACTTAACCTCTCTGTGCTTCAGTTTATTCATCTGAAGATGCGTCTAATGTAGTATAGATGAGTCTAGTGAGGTTTCCAAACTCGTAGAGTCCTTACGAGGAGTAAATGAATTAATTATGTAAATTCTACATGTATGTCTACCAAAAATGTCAGCTACTATTATTTTGTTTGAACTCAGACAAAATTATTTAAAAATTTAGTTTGTAGTAATTATAGCTTTATAAATTCAGGCAGCTGAGTCAATTATCCTCTCGGAGCCTCAGTTTATTCATCTATAAAATGGTGTTAATGATACCAGCCTCCTAAAATTGTATTAAAGATTAAGTG